ACCCGGGGTGATCCCTCGTCACCCTACCTCGCATAGGTCCGATAACACAATATAGCTGAAATTTCACAGTCCATCTAAATCATAAACCGTAGAACCACATTGCACTTTCCGAAATCATACACAAGATCAGAACCTCACCTCTATACTCCGAATAAGCCCGAACCAGCTGTAATAACCCTCAATCACATGATATACTATATAGCTCAAACACTCGAAACGATAACTTCTATTCGCAGCAGCTGCCCACAATAACCAAATACCGATAGAAAACCTTTTATTAGCTAAAGGCTTATCCCAACACTTCCATATATTGCCAACAACAAATGAGACACACTATAAACCGTAATCATTTCTCATATCAACCACTCATGAAACTGTTTCCCTTTTGACTAATACCACAACAGATTTCCGGGCCAAACCTCGATATTATCCTTTTAAGAAGCTGAAATCAAATCTGTTCGTATTCATTAATGACTCCAACGATCACCTCGAATCCAACACACCACTCTGGTGATATGACACCTCAATACAGGCCTAAGCCACAACTTGCATAATACACGCACCGATAAGAGACGGTCTGAACATACTCAATTCATGAAAATAACTCAAACGAAAGAGCTGTACCTCAAGCTCAACAATACCATGACTACACAAGGCTGAGACCCCGTCTCACATCATAGAAATAAAAAGCCTGAATCTACCCCGAAAGGTCATAACTCCCGTAGCCTCGCTACAATGCACGATCCTGTCCCAACACTGTTACACCTCAAGCACCTCAAGCCGCTATGCTCAAAATCAACAATCACACACAATTGATGTCTGAAACCAAAGCAATTCATTACACTCACAGTGAAACAAATAACATATGACACGCAACCCGATAGATCGTAACCAATACTCCATTTACTGAGCAACACTCAATTACTCTTCCCGGTCGACTTTCTCTATGAATCCTCAATAGAACCGTACCACATGTGCCCATATCCAACAAATCATAACGCCTCACCACAGAAAAGCAACTCATAGATCTCCCCAGATCACTAACAAGTTCAATAACGATCGAATCAACCTATCCCTCAACAATTCAACTCGGGACTAACCAAGCTAACTCAAGCCAAATACGTATCCACAACGGCCTGCCAACGAACTCAATACCAAGAAGCCTGAAGCTGCTCCTTCCACTACTATAAC